AGTCAAGTCTCATCTTCTTCCAGTGGTCCTGGTTCTCCTGTGTTCTCTAGTGAGCGCTGGGAGTCACCAAGGTTCTTAATTACGGGGCTGAACGAACGTGGGGCATGTGCTGTGCAGAAACAGGGACTGGGGAGGGGTGTGAAGGTGAGGGGAAGTATTGGTGAACTTCTGAAATAAGGCGGCTGGCTCTTGTTTCAGCCGTACTCGCTTTTCTCTTGATCATGGGGTGTCAGCGGAGGGTCTGGGGAGCTGGCAGAGCTGTTGTGGCCCAGTGGCGTTTCTTCCCGTCCCCTTGGAGCTCCCGCTGGTGCAGGCTGCCAAACACACCGCGCTGGATAGAGCTGCTTGTCTCTTGTGAAGCGTGTAGCTGTTTCCTTTATAGGCCGAATTTAACATCTTTGGAGGCTGTAGTGGTTTGGCGCTTTCCTGAACTGAGAAGGCTCGAAGAGCTGTAGTCCCTTCACCTGGCACTACTACGTGCCTCTGACCGGTTTGGGCTGCCCGCTGTGTTTTCACCCCTGTGCCAGGTCCCGTGACCGTTTCCCAACCTCGCTGCTCTCTTGCCCAGGTATTCTGTCGACATTCCGCTGGACAAAACAGTGGTCAATAAGGACGTTTTCAGGGACCCCGCTCTAAAACGCAAAGCAAGACGTGAAGCCAAGGTGAAATTTGAGGAAAGGTGAGTTGGGAGCTCGTCTCTTCAGAGGTGTTGGCACGCGTCCCCGGAGCGAGGGCTTGGCGCGGTTGTGCCGCAGCCTGGATGAGTCCCAGGTTGGACACTTCTGCCCCAACTTCCTTGAATATGTTTTTGGTTGAGTGCGTTCCTCCTTGCCTTCTGTGCACGTTTACGTAACTGTCTGTTGAGGGAGCGGGCGGGTTGAGGTGCGGAACAGTTTGCCGACAGCCGTAGACTCGGGCTGACGTTTGTGACGATGCCGCAGCGTCGTGCCGGCACAAGCAGGGCCTTCTGGTGCCAGATGACGATCTCTTGGCATCGCGCTGCCCGTTCACCCGCTGTCTGTCACGGGGCTTAGTGGGACAGGGTAGCGCTGACGCTTTGCCAGGAGCGTTCTGGGTTAACAGTCCTTCTTTTCAGTCTTCTCTTCAGAACCTCCTTCAGCGGAAGGAGCTGCGCGGCCTCAGCGGGGCGCAGGGCGTCTTGCGGGCAGCCTGGGGTGCTGGCTGTTTTAAATCGCTTTGCCTGTGGTGGGAGGTTGTTTGGGGGCATCTCCTGGTGGCTGCCTTCCACGTGAGGTGTCGTGTGGGACTGCTGCGCGCTGCTCTTGTCTCTTGGAGTGGAAACTGCTGTGGTGTGGATGTCCTTCACGACAGAATCTGGAAGCTGACACGGACAGCTCGGGTGCGGGTCCTGCTGTCGCCCGCTGGCATGGAGCATTCTCTCACCTTTGTGTTCCTTCTTTTTCAGATACAAGACGGGCAAGAATAAGTGGTTCTTCCAGAAGCTGCGATTCTAAAGGTGTAACAAGATCACATCAATAAACATTTATTAAAACCCATTTTGTTTTGTTGTGTTAAAAAAAAAAAAACAAGCGCTGTGAGGTCTTTATCTCTGTGGTGTGGAGATTCCTGCTCCGTGCAGAGCTGGGAAAGCCATCGCAGTGAAGGCGAGCTGCCGAGCGTCTGTTTTTTAATGGTGGGTGAACGTGCCATCCCTGGGGGATAGTCCTGGGGCACCTCCCGCGGGGCAGAGGCTGCTCGTTCCCCTTCCTGCCCGATGGAAATGTCTCATTCCCAAAATTGTGGTAATCCCTGTGAGAACGGGGGTGGGAGAGGGGAGACGAGTGGGTAGTTCAAGGTGTCTGCGTCTTGTCTGTTCTTTGCCTGAGAAACAGCGATGCATGGGGCGGCTTGTGCAGTGACTTACCTGCGGGCGTTAAATTTTTGGTTACCTTCGCAAACGTCCTTTTGTTGTGCAAGTGACAGCCTTCCATCTGCCTGGGGGGCAGCAGGTGGCTGAGGGCGTCCCATCAAGGTTTAGGGCGTCCCATCAAGGTTTAGGGCGTCCCATCAAGGTTTAGGGTGTCCCGTCAAAGGTGGGCACGCAGGGCAGGAGGGGAAGGGCCGTTATGGCGGTTTACCGGCCAGGATGGGGGATGCTTTGGCAAAGTGAGTTCCACGGGGGAGAGAGGGTACGGG